CTGTCCTTACCAGGAACTAATGCTGCGACTGAACGGTAAATAAAGTGTGGACATCAGAAAATTCACAATTAAGTGTTGAGACTTTGAAAGCCATTTTATGTGTGAAATATAATTTAACACATTCTTGTGAAAAATTTCATGACCTTTTAAACAACAACCGCAATCTACTAAAAAAAATTCACTCAAATGAGAAATATGCCAAAGAATAAAATAATACTATACATAATTTTAAAAATGTATTATATTTGTAAATTGTACTTATGTTAAAATTAAAAATATATATTACAATACTATTTTTGCATTCTATGAACATTTTTGTTGCTCCATATAGACCAAATTTTTAATCAAGACCCCCGCCCCCCCTGCCCAATCAATGGTGTCCCGCTTTACCAATGTTAAAATCTGGTCACCTTAGTCTTATTGATAGATGCCCCATGTGGGTAAGCTGATTGCCTGGGCATCCCTGCAGCCCCAGACCTGGTGCAGAGCACTCAGCTCAAGCCAAAGCCACTGCCAGGCAACCTTGGCTCATGTTCAGTCGGCTCTGACCCATAGTGACCCTATGCACAACAGAACAAAACTCGGCATGGGCCTGTGCCACCCTCACACTTGTTGCTGTGCTGAGCCCACTGGGCACCACGGTGTCGATCCAGCTGGTTGAAGGCCTTCCTCTTTTCCATCACCCTCCTCTCTTCCAGACACGATGCCCTTTCTCCGGGGACTGGTCTCTCCTGATGACACGGCCAAAATATGTAAGACAAAGTCTTGCCATTCTTGCCTCTAAGGGGCCCTCTGGCCTTACTTTCCCCCACGCAGATCAGTTTGTCCTTGTAGCTGTCTGTGGTACGGTCAACCTTCTTCCCCAACATCACAATCCAAAGGCATCGATTCCTCTTCGGTCTTCCTTATTCAGTGTCCCACTTCCACAGGTACATGAGGCAACGGAGTGGAAATCTGCCATATGAATTCCCCATACGACTCCCAAGACTTTGGATCTGTACGGGAGCAGACACAGCCTGTTCTCTCTCCTAAGGAGCGGTTGGTGGGTTTGAACTGCCAACCTTGTGGGTAGCAGCAGCCCATTGCTTGTCCCACAGTGCCCAAGGCCTCCTCAATAACAACTAACTACCATCAAGTCACAGCGACCCTGCGTGGGGTTTCTGAGATTGGCGATCTTTCCCCAAAGAGAAGCTGGTGGGCTTGAACTGCTGACCTGGCTGTTTGCAGTCGAATGCCTCACCCACACCGATAAACCAGAAATCCTTTCACCTGTTACTTAATATGGTCCAAGGCTGCACGCAAGAAGTCCTGGAATCAAAACCAAACCAAAACCCATCATGGCAGGTGATTCCTACTTGTGGCCACACTGTGTGACTCAGCAGAGCACCGCTGCGTTTCCTTGGTCATCTTTAAGTAGATGGCCAGGCCTTTCCTCTGCAGGACCCTGTGTGGTGCAATCCACTTTTGCCACCCAGGGACCTAGTCCCGGGATAAACACTCAATAAGCAAGGTGCAAAAAATATTAGGATTTAATACAGAGGCTTGGCCTTTCTGGTGCAGTGTTTGATACTGGACTGTCACTTAGTAGGTGCTCAGGAAAAGGGATAGGAACAGAGAGAGAAAGAGAGAGAGAGAGAGAGAGAGAGAGAGAGAGAGAGAGAGAGAGAGAGAGGAGAGAGAGAGGGAGAGATCCACCAGTTCGACCCCATGCCCAACTTCTGTCCTCCACGTGCGCGCCCTCCCAAACCCAGTGCATGCCTGGGCGCGGCCGGGACTACACTTCCCAGCGGCCCTCGCGGCCCGGACAGCCTCGAGCCGGGGGCGGAGCCTGATGGGGGCGGGGCCGAGGGCGGGGCCAGGGCCGGGGCGGGGTGGGTACAAAGCCCGGGGGCGGGCGCCGGGCTCAGAGTGCAGGCGGCCGCCGGCTTCAGGTGTGTGTGTCTCAGCGCTGCGCCCAGCTGCACGGCGGGAGCGAGCGTGTCGGCTGGACGGCCGGCCGCTGCCCGCGCCCTCGCGGCCCGCGCGCGGCGCCCCATGCGCGCAGCCCCGCGGAGCCTGGCCCCGTAGGTGGCGGCCACCCCCATGCTGCTCCAGCCTGCGGCGTGCGCCCCGAGCGCGGGCTGGGCGCGGCCCCTGGCTGCCCGCGGCGCCATGCACGGCTCGCAGAAGGACACCACGTTCACCAAGATCTTCGTGGGGGGCCTGCCCTACCACACCACCGACGCCTCGCTCAGAAAGTACTTCGAGGGCTTCGGGGACATCGAGGAAGCTGTGGTCATCACGGACCGCCAGACGGGCAAGTCCCGCGGCTACGGCTTCGTAAGTGGCCCCGGCGCCGCTCCTTGGCACGGCCCGGGGGCCGGGTCCGCTCCGGGTGCCCGCCGCACCCTCCGGGGTCGGACCCGCCCCCACGGGCCCCCCCAGTTTCCAGCTCCCCAACCCCCAGCTTGAAAAGGAGACCTTCCGCGGTGCTTTAATGAGGTTTCCTAGCTTTTCGGAGAGCTTTGGGGAGTGGGTCTCTCTCGGGTGGTGGCGGTGGGGTTCTGGGGCCCCATGCGAATGAGGGTCCAAGGCGTCACCCAGGGGTGCTCGGGGGCCCTTTAGCGCTCTCCCTCGTGTCCTCCAGCAGCCCCTCTGCCGCCTCGCGTAAACATCACCTGAAGTGGAAAGGTTTGAAGATGCGGCTGCTACTTCCCTTCCGACCCGCGGGCCCCCAGGCCCCTCCCATGCGGAAGTTCCCGGCCACGTTCTGGGGGGCTGGCTGGAAGGGACATGCCTGCCTCCCTTTGGGGTTCCTGTGTGCCCAGCCCCTCTAGAAATTGTTTTTGCCTTTGGCTGAAAGGTGTGCCCCCTGTCAAACTGGGATGAGAGGGATTGGAGAGAAGATGGCTGGGAGGGAAGCTTAGTGTGAGTGCCCAGGACTTGGGCCAGAGGGGACTGGGTAAAGGGCACCCGGCGGGGGGCGGGCACAGTGCTGGGTAGAGCCCCCACAGCTGTGTCCTGGCTGCACTTACCTAGCAAGGGAAGCCCCTGAGACCAGATTGGACCCCTCCCCCACCTCCCCCCAGGTGACCATGACAGACAGGCCAGCTGCTGAGCGGGCTTGCAAAGACCCCAACCCCATCATTGACGGCCGCAAGGCTAACGTCAACCTGGCATACCTGGGAGCCAAGCCTCGGAGCCTGCAGCCAGGTGAGCACGCCTTCCCTCCTGGCTCTGAGTGTGTGCTATGGGGGTCTGTGGAAGAGGTCCCCTGCCCCAGGGTGGTCGGCTGAAGGTGGCCCAGGAGCAGCCCGAGTCAGACTAATAGGGATGGGATGGAGCTGTCAGCCCAGGCTGTCAGGAAGTCTGTATATTAGTGGGGCTCACTGATTTGGGGCTGGAAGGGAGAGGGAGCTGGGGAGCCCTTTGCCTCTGGGGGGTGTGCGCTGTGGCCTACTTCATGCCAGCCCCATCGCTGACCCCTCTGTTGCAGGCTTTGCCGTGGGCGTGCCACAGTTCCACCCCGCCCTGATCCAGCGGACGTACGGGTGAGTGGGTGTGCTGCGTGTGTGAGGGTGCCCCAATCCCAAAGCTTGGGTTGTGGTGTTTGCAGTCACCCCCCCCCCCCCTGCAGGTCTGGGAACTACCCCTTTCATTATGTTTGGCCGAGGAGAGAGGGTGCAGAAGGCTCTGAGAGCAGGCAGGTGGCATCTCTCCATACCCATGGAGGTGGGCAGCAGGAGCAAGGGCTCTAAGCCAGCTAGCTACCTGGGTTCAGATGCTGCCTCTCCTCCACCAGTCATGGGACTTCAGGTGACCAGGCTGTGCCTCACCTTCCTCACCTGTAAAATGGGGGCATGACAGCCCCGCTTTCTACCACACTTACCTCACCTGTAAAGCGGAGGTGGCAGGAACACCTTTCTGTGCCTTGATTTTGCCCGTCTGTGAAATGGGAGCCATAACAGATCCCTGGGTGGCTCAAGCAGGTTGCTCCTGGCAACCATCCAAAACAGTGGTGCTGAAGAAAGGCCTGGTGAACAACCAGTGACACACCTGTCCTGGCCCCTAGTGGCTGAGCACACCTGGTGCAGGCACACACTCCTGGGAAGTATGTGCTGATCCTCCCAGACACTGCCACCTGGTGGGGGCAGGATCTCTGGGTACTTGATATGGGTGGGGGTGGGGCGGCATGGCGGGCATGGCAGCTGGTCATTGCCAACCTGGTCAATGATCATGAAGCTGCCACCCATCAGAAGTGACCAGGGCCAGCGGGGCCATGGGCCTGATGGCCTTTGGTGAAATTTCCCCTCCTCTGCCATTTAGCAGCTACTTGGGTAGGGCACACACCTTTAGGGCACCATGGACCCTGCCCAAGAGCCCACGTCCAGCCCCAAGATCGATGGTAGCAGCTGGCACCAGTTCAGAGAGGGGGTGGGAGTCAGTCTGGTTTTGGCAGGGACAGCCTCTTTCAGAGTTGGGGTCCAACACCAGGACACAGGGTTCCGGCAGCAGGAGTGGGGTGGGGTGGGGGTGCTGTGTGTATCTGTGTGAGGTGGGGATAACTCAGAGGGAGGAGGTCAGGCAGACTGCCCAGGGCTGCCAGGAGCCGTCCCAGCCAGCAGCAGCGTCTGCCCCTGGCTTCCAGGGACACTGAGTGTGTGGGAGTTCAGCTACAGGAAGCCCTAGTTGCCAGGGGCTGAGGCCAGGGCTCCTGGCCTGCGTAGGCAGTTGGCAGCTTAGCCCCTGTGCCGGCCCTGGGATGTCCTATGGGGAGCAGGTGTCTCTGTGTTGCTTCTTGACTGGGGTCTATTTCCTTATACCTGAAACTGTCTCAGGAGGTGTTGGGGACACCTGCCTTGCCTCTTTGAGGGTCAGGCCTCGTGAGGGGATATTTCTCTCAGAAGCTGTCTGAACTCCCTTCTCGGGGTGCAGCCAGGGGCTTGGGGTGGGGTGTGCAGCCCTGCCTTGAAGTAAGCCACCATCGGGAGTGGCTCTTCCTGCTAAAATGATGTTCCCTCCCAGCCGGGGCTCCAGTACTTGTTGTCTGCAGTCTACAGCTCCGGGTTCGAATCCTGGGTCTGCCACTTAACTGCCTGGGTCGATCCTGCACTTCTAG